TATGCCATATATTTGATAATTCAGCAATTTATTTGAACTGGAAAATTCGACACATTAACTAATGTGTTTGAAATATATTATACAAAAATATTCTGTGTTATTTATATTATATAGGTTACTTAGCCTCTTTATAAGCAGACAATATAAAAATCAAGTGAATGTCTCTGAATGAAAACATTTTTGCAGTCACCCAGACGTATGAGTAACTTTCATTTTTAGGTTAATGATGCCACATTCATAAAAATTATGCAAATGTAATGAATGCACTTTTATGCGCATTCACCAACAACAAAAAGCAGTGAAATATGTAAATGAAATAACAACTGCAACAACTGCAGAAACGCCTCTGCCGACTGCACAACGACGTTTACTGCACAACTTAATTTCGAAAATTTCGCCCAGCACACTTTCCTAGTGCACTGCAGAAAGCACTTTCGTAAATTACCAACATAGTAACGCCCTACATTGTGCTATGTTTTAGCAGTTTTTTTTTTCGTTGCTCATTTTTATTGTAATTTTTTACAGTGTAATTTATTCGCACTTAGTACACGCGGCGGCAACATCAGAGTGATTTTAAGTCAACTTCAGTTAACGTCTTACCACTTTGACAAGTTGCCACTAGAATGGCAAGAAGCAAGAAGCAAAAAGCAGCAGCACATCTGTGTAGCGCCACAAACATAGAAAGCAAAAAGTCAGCATCCAAAGTATCTTAAAAAAACGACGCTTGATGAAGTTGAAATGTTAAGAACGCCATATAACCAAAGGAAAAAATGCAATGAATTTAGTGCATATGAACAAAAATTAAACACCCAGAAACAATTTCATAAGCCCCGACAATGTAGTAGAAATCCTTTTGATAAAAAAAATCAGGAGAAAAAGGAAGAAAGAAGTGTGACAGCTGTGTAATATTCAACCATTTACAGTTTTTGGATGTAAGTGGAGTGCTGTTGCATATGTTAAACATTGCAGCCGGGTGGCAGGATACTTGTCATTAAAATGTAACTGCAAGCGTATGTAGCAAACAGGGTGTGCGCTCTATAACATTTCACCACCACCAGCAGTTTTTATTGGAATAATAAAAATTTGAACAGCAATTTACACCTTTATTTCGAAGTAGTAAAAAATATTATTTAGTTTTTTAAGAGAAAACTTCTGTTTGAGTACTGTAAACTATAACTAGTTCTAAGTAAACTAAAGTACACATACTGCTAATGAAATAATATGGGGTTAATGTCACATGCTTTTTTATTTTGTGCTTCATATAATATATAATTTGAGGTTTCTCAAATATTTTTAAACATTTCTGGTATCAAAAATTAAAACTAACAAAGTAACAAACATAGACTGGCATATAGGATAAAGATAGGAGTCTCCATATACAATAAAATTATAATTTAGAAGCAAATTCTAAAGCAAATTCTAAATTTCCTGAAATATTGTAAATGTCCCGCGGTACATTCGAAGTGCTGATGTACACCCTAAACCTACCGCTTCAACACCACAATAGTTGCTATAAACAATAAGGAAAGCTATTCTATGGAGACGAGAAACAATACGGGTACGAACTTGTATTTGGAATTAAGTCAAAAGGTCTGGTTTTTTGTACTGTGCTGTAAATTGTCCAGTGGTTTCAGGAACATCTTAGTTTTCGTTTTTATCTCCAACTTTTAACTAAACCAATCCATATTTTAGTATTGTTGGGTATCACACCATAGAATTATGGCCGGGTTCCACGACGTTATCAAAATTACAAAGATTTATTACAAATATACAAAAAAAAAATTATTAAGTTCAAGTACGTGCCGCACTTTACATGAAATTTATAAACGTGATCTTCTCACAATCAGAAATGAATAAAATAATTAATAAGCCTTGATCATCCTTCACTATCCAATACAATTACTGAATTTAAGAACTTGCTTCGTTGAGTACTGTTATCAGGGTTATCAGGATCAGACAATGACAGGGCAAGTGTTACGCGTAAATTCTATCACGGTCTCGCATGCGCCAGAAAATATATATCCATTCTCTTCTTTCTTTATCACATGTCATCCGTAGCAGTAATGCAATTGACAACATTTTTATCAGTTGGTACTGAAAATAGTTTTTGCTGAAAATAACGTTACTATAAACCAAATTATGATTCAATATTCAGAAGAATTATTTAGAAGTAGAATAATCAGAGTTATTCAAAAGTGTAACAAAACTTATGGAACCACCCGGAATTCTTCCAGAAGAGTTTACATTACACATTATAGTCTGAAAAAATTCAATGGAATAAGTGACATTTTTTCCCCAGTTATTTTAAAGATTGG